GGGCACGCTCAAATTTGCATAAGAATCCTCATTTATGTAAAAAAAAAATTAATCTAAAAATAGGCTTTACGCATATGCATAATACTCGTAAGAGCATCTTCAATAGGCATGATAGGAATAAGACGCGTCCCATTGTGGAACCCGATGTACCAATACCGACGGGCCGGGATTCCGTGCAATAACCAGGGATTGGAGATGGAAACGAGGATCTCCAAAAGTTAAAAACCGGGAACGGGACAGGGTTGGATAACGTGATTCTCGCCTCACCCGTGTATATTAAATATATTGTATATTTGTTAATATATATTGTATATTTATTATTAAATATATTATTTATAGAGAATTATTTAGTATCTTTTAGATTTATAACAAATCTTGATCTTTCTTCTTATATACATTTTTTTGACTTGTCTTGTTTTTTTCAGATAAAAATAAAGAATTGAAATTGTTTCATCAAACAATTACGTATGATGTTGTGATTTTGTTCACATATGAATATTTGATTCTCTGTAAAATAAAACTTTTAGAAATATATGAGATTTAAACATGGATCAGTATCGATCGTGTATATATTGTTTAACACGTTTGACTTAAAATGTCTCAAATAAATAGGGGAAACTCCCATATTCCCTGTTGGAGACAGAAATGAGAATGTGATCATCTATACTATATTATAAAGCATTTGACAAAAACTCTTAAAAACCATTTTTATGCATGAAGTACTGTTTATTGATGCATATTACTTAAAATTCAAGATTACAAATGAGTTTGCTTAAGTACAACTCATTAAAGCTTCATTTTTGAATTTGTATAACTAACTGCAGATAAACATAATCAAATACAAAATAAACATCCATTTTAAATATAGAAAATCTAAAATATATTTAAAATAATCATTAAGTTTTAACAAAATGTTTAATTATTATCTTTATAAAAAATTATATTGTTAAAACAAAAACAAATTATTTTTTTTTGTTAAATCTAAATTAAATTATAATAAAAATTGAATTAAAGAAGTTACACCAAAAAAACGAGAACGGTTAAATAATTAATTTGATATTAATATCGATTTTTTTTCTAATTTTTATGTTATATTCAAATTTATATTTTATTAAAAAATAACAACATTATGGTTTTCTCGAAACCACATAAAACCGTATTATATGGATAGAAACAAAGAATAAAAACTAAATATTAAAACCGAAATTTATCTCGCTGCATTGCGCGGGTATCATTTTAATATTCTCTAGCGAGGACAGTGATAAAGATTGAGATAAGGACATAAACTGGGATTGGGGTCCCCGCCCCATTCCCATACCTAAGGCTAATCTTCAAAGATATTTTCAAAAAGAAAAAAAAATTATAAAACGGAGAATTAAAATTCAAAATCTTCAAAAATAATTATATTCAACTCAAACAGATTTTGTATCTTAAAGATTATAATATTAATTATATCATTAAAACATTTTATACATGTTATAAAATATTATTTATCTCTTGTAAACATTTAACATCAAGGTTTCTTATTGGTGAAAATATAATAAAAAATGATTATTTCCCGTGTTAATCATTTTTTGGGCATCTCCAATAGATTCCTTAAAATTTCTCCAAAATGGATTAAGGTTAATCGATTGAGAAACGTCGTTGCTGAGGGTTTTGAAAATAATAATGGGCAAATAAGATGTTGGTTTACCTCTTGGAACATCTTCAACAGTCATATTAAAATGAATAAAAGTGTGATTTTAGCATTATTATTGCTCCAACAGCTATGTTGTCCTTAATTCTAAAATAGAGAAAATATTAGATAGATTGTAAGAGCATATTCCACACCTATGTTAATAAATTTCAGTAATAGAGTGTGAAAAGTTAAATTTTCTAAAAAAATTACATCTAACTCCAATAGCTATTCTAATTTAGCAATTTTAGCATTAGTTATCTATACTATATTATAAAGCATTTGACTAAAACTCTTAAAAAACATTTTTTTTATGCATAAAGTACTATATATTGATGCATATTACTTAAAATTCAAGATTACAAGTAAATTATGCATAAATACAACTTATTAAAGCTCGATGTTTGAATTCGTATAACTAACTGTGGATAAACATAATCAAATACAAGATAAACATCTCATTTTAAAATATAAAAATCTAAAATATAATTAGAATAATTATTGAGTTATAATAAAATAATTAATTAGTATCTTCATAGGAAAATTATATTATCAAACCAAATATAAATTATTTCGTTATTGTACCTAAATTAAGTTATAATAAAAAAAATTGAATTAAAAAATTACCCAAAAAATGAGGAATTTTAAATAGTTAATTTGATACTAATATCGATATACTTTTGTCAAAATTTTATGATATCTTCAAATTTATATTTTATTCAAAAATAAAAACATCATCGTTTTATCAAAATAACATAATATCATATTATAACATCGACCGAGATAAAGAATAAAATGAAATATTAAAATCAAGATATATCTCGCTGCATTGTGCGAGTACCCTTATAGTATTAATAAAATATTCAATACATTTAATAAAATATTATTTCTCTCTTCTACAAATTTAACTTTAATAAGTTTATTTGGTTGGATATGATTAAAATATTGTTTCTCTCTCTTTTATAAAGTTTTAGAGATTTTTCTAGATTTCGAGACTTTTACAATCTCTCTCTTCTTTTCTATATTGTAGACTTGTAGTATTGAGGATAACATAGATGTTGAAGTAACAAAAATGCTAAAATCTCACTTTTCTCCATTTTAGCATAGTTGTTGAAGATGCTCTAAAAATCTCTAAATTTAGAGGAAATCTCTAAAACTGTATAGAAAAGAGAGAAACAATATTTTAGTCATATTCAACAAATTAAACTTATTAAAGTTAAATGTATAAGAACGAAAAATAATATTTTATTAAATGTATTGAATATTTTATTAATATAGTCAACGGTTGAATTAATAAAATATAGTAGCTGTTGGAGTTTGATGTAATTTTTTTTAGAAATTTTAACTTTTTCATGTTCTATTCTAAAAAAATATAACATAACTAGTTGTGTACCCGTGCAATGTGACGCGAGCCGTGTTTTGAAGTTTCACTGGTTTTATTAGAGAATAACGATGATATAAGTTACACTTGGTCTTTACATATTAATACAATTTGAATAAATAAGATTAGGGTTCCAATTACAGTCTATCGATGAAAAAAATTATATGACAGTTTAAAATCCAATATATTTAAAATCCAACATATTTAAACGACTTAACAAATGTATTCAATTTACACCAAGAGCAAAAAATCAAGAGCTAGAGAGTGAGAGTTCTAGAACAATTAAATGTGAGAACTTTTAATAACTCATGGTGAATATCAATTTGAATCTCACATTGGGGGATGAGGAGAAGACATAGAGGTATGAGAGGGTAAAGACATGAGTGAAAGGTGTCAAAAGTATCTTGGGAACATGAAAAGAAAAGGTAATAATGTGTATTGGTAACTTGTACTATGTGTTATTGTAATTGTATATTAAAAGATTTAAAGATTGAATACATAAAATAGTAGTACTTAATGCATTATAAATTATTTTTAAAACTTTATACATTAAAAATTGTTTTTAAGACTTTTGATAAATTTACTTTATAAGGTAACATAGATTATTAGAGATATTATTTTCGGCGATCCCCATTTTGATCGTCTTTATGTCCGTACAGCCTCCATCTCTCTCACCATCTTTGACACGTTTCGTCTCCCTCTCCTGCTTCACTGACTGACAACTGAAATCATTCCGCCCCCATTTTCAAGCCTAAAAATGGCGAGTCGCAGCACAGCAGGACTTGGCTATGTAAGTCCAACCAGAAGCACTCATGTTGGTGAAAACTCCTGCATTATTAACAAGGCTGATGCCGGCCCACCGGAGAGCCACCGTTACTACCTTGCACGCCGAACTGTTTTGGAAATGTTAAGAGATAGAGGCTGCGTCATCAACGACTCCGAGATCACTCGCTCTCTCGCCGACTTCCGTTCGGTGTTTGGAAACCAGCCTGATCCTGATCATCTCCGTATCTGTGCCCCTTTCTCCTCCAACCCATCCAAAAAGGTATCCGTTTCGTTAGGGGTTTGTAGTCTTGTGTCGGAGCGTACAGAAACAATATATACATATACGTACATACATGACATATGCAGGATCAAACGTGAAAACGATACCTATCTAGAACACGAAAACGATACCTATTTAGTGTAAAATCACATATAATTCATCAGTTTTCTTGTTCTTTTTAATAGGTATCCTTCCCGTTTGATCATTTATCTATCTATCTGTATTTATATATATATCCGACTGAACTTCTATATTTCCTCTTACTTTCTCCATTTTTTGTTTGAAATTTTTCTCCAAGTTTCTGATAATGTGTTACTTGTTTGTTCAATTCATTATATTTGTTGCCAAAATGTTCATATCCAAGGGTCATACAATCATTTATATCACTTGGTTAGGGTACAACAGTTGTAAGCAATTGTTGGAAATCAATAGATCACATTGGCAATGATTTTGGCAAATGTAGACGTAGAAATCCATAATGTTAGATTTGATAATGTTAAAGTAAACACCCACACTATCATGACCTTGAGCAAAAATCATCAGATCTTATCGGATCCGAAAAATCCTCGGGCCGATGCTATGCTGAAATTGGTATTTAAGATCTGACCATATCTTTGCAGCGGTGTCTAGGAAAAAAATGATGCTAAATGAAGTTTCCTTGGATACCGAATTTAGTATCCAAGACATGACCATATTGTAGATGCAATCCCGAGAATTGAGTATGTCTGCATCGGAATCATTAGGTTTCGGAATGATTACATTGATGAATCCTATTTTATTCTTCGAGGGGAGTGCTATGGTCATGGCTGTACTCCATATAATTCTCATCTTCTAGAATCAGAGAAACAAGGATCAGACCTGGATTATCTGAATTATTGAGGAAGAATGGATCGTTGTTCCTATTTGGTGTATTCTGGACTTGTGTCTGAACCATCGCGTCAAATTGTGATAGCAGAATGAACATGAAATGAATCTTCAGACAGTCTAAAAAGATTGAAGAGAGTTGAATCTTTGGTGCTTTGATATCATAATACAACAATGATAGAAGACAGAAAGCAAAATTGAACATAGAGAGTGATGCACAAGTTTTCTGTATTATGGCCCTTACAAAACATAGCTACAGATCCCATGTTCAAATCCAAGGAAGAATAAAAATCTCATTGTGGCCACGGAGGTTCAAATGCGGTGATTTCGGACTATCAGCAAAGCAGGTGGTCGCTATGGGATTAGTCGGTTCTCATAGCGGGTTGGATATCCAGGTTAATAAAAAAAGAAAAAATAGCTACAGTGCTACGATTATATAATAAGATAAGAAAATATAATCCCCTCTAATTAACTCTTCTCATTGTCATATATCCATGAGTAATCACTATAAGTTAGTTGACTAACTTATCACAAATAAGAAAAGTACTACTGCTAAAGTTGTATGTGATTGTTAGTTAATCATACATCAGCAGTAGCACTTCTCTTATTTGTGATTGTTTGTTAGTCAACTAACTCATGGTAATTGCTCATGTGGATGTATGACAATGAGAAGTGTTAATTAAAGGTGATTAGACTTTCTTATCTTATTCTATAATTGAAGCTCTTTGTACAAGTCATAATACATAAAACTTCTGCATCTCTCTCTCTATTCTCAATTTTGCTTCCTATTCTCAACTCTGTACCAGAGCTGTATTACATATCTTCAACATGTAACAAGCTTCTTAGTTTGTTTGACTTTTCTTGAGATTTTGGATGACCTCATTTTCAAATTAAATTTCTAGAAACATTTCAAAATGACTTGGTCCAACTCCAACAACAGACCTAGATTTGGCAAGAAGGGTGGTTTTTTCATAATAAATGGTAACCGACTTCGTATACCACATGCTTCCTAATTTTTGGTGACCTTTTTATTGGGTTTTATTTTAGATACTGAGGATTCATCTTTAAGGCCCAATGTGCAAACCTTCTGGTGCGGTGAGGTTTCCTTGATCGAATCTTGGAGTGCTGATTGTGGGCTTAATAAACTAAATCTTCTTTTGTATGATAAGTTCAGTTCTTCAGCTATACTGAATTGGGTTCATTTTTGTGTGAAAAGCATTGCAATATATCTTGAAGGCCATTTCGTGTGTAAACTGATATTGTAGTAGCCAATTTCTGCATTTAATGCCGTCTTTAATATGCTTTGCAAGTTCCCTGACAATATTTTCTCTTGTGTTCCAGATTTTGGTCATTTTCTGTGGTCCTGGGGAGATAAACAAAGCAAAAGCTACTCACATTTTGTTTAACATCCCCAATAAGGAGAGCTTGCACCGGATTATCATAGTTTTGCAAGACAAGATGAATCATTTTGCTCGGACAGTGTTTGATGAATTTCAAGTCAAGGTGGAAATGTTCCCTGTAAGATGCCCACATTTTTCTATTAATTCAAGGATCAAAGAAAACGTCCATCAAGCAAAGATCATTATCCGTATGTCCCACTTATATACAGGGTTCTAATAAATCTCCCTTAGTGCCACTTAAGTTTCGCCTAGATGTTATAAGCATCACTCGGGTTTTTTTTGGATAAATGACCTTAAATGGATTTTCAATTGGGAGCATGACCTTTTAACCTTTTTAGCTTAATGGTCTTTTTCTAACCTGCCCCCAGTCCTAAACAGTTTGCTCTCACAAAAACTTAGAAATACACTAAAGGGTTGTTCAGCAAAATGAGCATCTGGAGAAGGTCATTTAGCTAAATTGCCCAGCATGACCCACCGCTTCTATTAGTTAGAGGAGCTTAATGGGCAGTCTAAGCTTAAGCATCATCCACCCACTCGATCAGCACTAATTGTTGGATTAAGCAGTCCAAAATAGTAACATGGGGATTAATCGACTTTTCGCTGCTGGTTATATGTTCTCTAATGATATTTATACATTTTTATATTTAGAAAAATAATTGTACCAAAATGATGTACCATCAACTTATTAGTCCTATGGTTATATGTTCTTCTAATGATATTTATACATTTTTATATTTATATAAATTGTTTATGCATCTTTTAAGTACTCTTAATCCCTGTGTAGAGCTTAAGCACTAGGAAGTCACTTAAATCATTCAGCTCCACTTAAGATTTTATAGAAAACTCTTTATACGGTTATAACATAGAAATTTCGTAAACGGAAGGCTTTTGAGTGATATGTATTACAGTAGCAATGATTTGCAATGATAGATTCAGATGTAAATTGATTAGCCTTTAATTTTTTTTAACAAATAGATTCTAAGGAAAATCATCACTGTTTGGTAATCCTTGTTAAAAAAATTCATCTATTTGGGGAAATGGATAGCCATTTTGTGTAGACGAATGGTCATCTCGGGGAATTGAATGACCATCTTTTAGTCTATCCCACCCTTGGGTTGGATAAACTTGGCTTGTTTGGTTTGGTTTGGTTTAATCAGAAAAAAGTCGAGTTCAGGATAGTGTGCAGCCTTCAACTAGATCCAGGAGCACAATTCTTTTCATTTTTTATGATAACTGATACTAAGGGGGTGTTTGGGATTGCTTATTTAAAACAACTTATGCTTTTTTGTAAAAGTGCTTATTAACTTATGAGGTATCAAACTGGAGTTTTGTAAAAAGTGTTTGGATTAGCTTATAGCGGTACGAAAAAGCAAAATGACCAAAACACCCCGGTTCATTTGAGGTTATGTACCAGTTGAGGGTTAGAAAAGAAATCAAGCCGTCTCCTCTCCGTGCGTTCCCTTTCTCGTCGCCTCCTTCTCGTCGTCGGCTCTAAACCCTAAACCAGGTCGCCGGCGATTAAAGCATCACCAGGTCGCCGGCCTCGCCTCGTCGCCTCCTTCTCGTCGTCGGCTCTAAACCCTAAACCAGGTCGCCGGCGATTAAAGCATCACCAGGTCGCCGGCGATTAAAGGTTCTTAACCAGCAAGATCGGATGCGATAGCCGGCAACGATGCGAACGAAACCAGCAAGAACGTCGTCTGTGGAAGTCTTGCCGGCAACGATGATGAGATGGATGCGATGAGAAACCAGGGTTAAAAGGGTAATCTGTCAAATAAGTCAAGAGGGTTTAACTTATCAAAAACGACTTATTACCGGTTTGGTACCGGTATAAGCACTTTTTTTTTTTTTTATCCAAACACTCCAAAATGACTTATTACCGGTTTGGCACCGGTATAAGTCAATAAGTCCGTTTGAAACGCTTTCCCAAACACCCCCTAAAGCTTTTAGTTAATTTTCAACTTGTATTTCTCACTTTGTTGTAAACAGCCATACACTGAAATTTGCAAACTTTGGCATTTGAAATAACCAAACTTGTTCGTGTTCAGTTCATTGCAAAACAACCATTTTATTTTGTTAAATGATGGTCAAAAATGCAAGAAATTGCAAGTCAGTGGTTCATTTTGCATCTCCAAAAGTATATTGATTGAAAATCCAATTCACTCATTTTTATTGAGCTTCATTTTACAAATCGTATACCCCTCTTATGCTTGGACATAATATATCCTCTAAAAGATGAAAACCGGAAACCATAGGATCATCGGCCCAATGGTATATCTGGGTTACCAGTAAATCCTAGCCTTCTTGTGGTGAGGAGTGTGTGAGTATTTGTTATTATATAAATATTATATACTTCAAGTAAAAAATGAAACCGGTACTGCATTTCCATATTTACCCTTTTTTAATTACCCTCTTAAATATGTCAAAAATTACACATTTGGGCATACTTCACATTTAGTACTCTTCTTTTAGTGATCCTTGTTTGAATTCTAATGCATTGATCTGGTTTTTAGATTACTGAACTGTTTGTCAACATTACAACACATGTTGCTGCGCCAAAGCATGAAATATTGACTACTGAAGAGAAGGAGCAATTGCTTAAAAAGTATGAACTGGCCGACAATAAGGTAAGATTATTGTCTACTAATTCATTCCGCAACCAAGAATTAACCCATTTTTTGAACTCTTAGGGGGCGTTTAGTTTGATGGAATAGTTTTGAGGGATTTGAATTTCATGGAAGGATTTGGAATTGGAAGTATTAATTTGGAATCTTTGCCATGTTTGGTTTGTAGGATTTGGAATGAAATTGAATTTCATTCTTTATATATAATTTATAAAAATATTATCACATTTTTATTAATTGATTATTACAAAACAAATGTTTTTAACATATTTAAAAAATTTAGTACTTACAAATCCTACGGAATACCGTGAAATACCAACCACTTCTGTGGGATTTCAAAATCTCATGTTTGTGAAATTTCAATGAGATCCCGGAATTTCAAATCCAGGAAATCCTTCAAATAACTCATAATGACTAGACAATATGTAACCCAAACGCCACCTAAGGGTAGTTCAAACTCATAACGTCTAGGCTCTAGCCTGTAGATCATCATAAAATCGAGCCAAGCCGGTTATCTTTTTGAAAGACTCGGTTACAACGCCTAGAGGGTGAAAGTTTTGCTATTTTCGCATGAACACATAAAGGGTAGTTCATCAAGCATACTATTGGCAGGATTTGATATAATGAGAAAGACCCTACATTATTATATATCAACTCTTTTTCTAGTTTGAATCTCCAACATAATAGCGATATCAAAATCTTAAAACTAAGGTCCCGTTTGGTTTACGAAATTAGATTGGATTTGGAGGGATTTGGATTTTCATTTCATTCCAATCCCATGATTTTGGGGCCTAATCATGTGGCCTTAAGCACGTGCAAGACATATGGAAAATACAAACTCGATAATTATCGACAATAGTCCAAAAAATTAGTAGATAAAATATGTTCACTATTTTAATTATATAATAGGAGCCCAAATTAGTAGATAATAACATACAGTTAATTATATTGGAAAATAAAATATATAAAAAGTTAAATGATTTTCGTTTTCTGCTATTGCTTGTCTAAGTTTTTTTTATCCGGTACTATGGTTTATTCACATTTGTGAAGTACATACGTAGATTCTGATAGAAACAACATGGTTTATTAACACCTACCTCCGATGATCTTTGATACGCACTATTTGAATAAACGGGTTTGTTTTAAAGTAATTTATTTTTTATTTTTTTGTACTTTTAGATTCCATATATGCTGGCGACCGATGCTATCGCAAGGTACTATGGACTCGAAAAGAAGCAGGTGGTGAAAGTGACTTATAACAGCAACATAACAGGTTCATTTGTTACCTATCGCTATGTGATGTGAATTGCTAAGCCGTCATGGTTTTATTAGGAACATATAAAACCAGTTCAAAACGTTCGTACAATTTTGGGTCAGGTTAACCTTTTGATAGTTACAAACATATGCGCACTTCAATTTTCTGACTTTTATGAAAAGATAGATCAGATTTGCTGTTACATATGCACAAAAACGGTAACACTTCTTATTTTATGTAATTATACATACAAACAAAAAATAAGAAGTGTTACCTTTTCAATGCGAACGAACACCATAAAAGTGAATATATTTGAAACTATTACAAGCTAATAATTCTATTAATAAAATACTAAATTATATACAATTTAATGGGCAATTTTGGAACAACAAAGGTGGCACTTAGAAGCCTTCTTTCCATATTTCTTGTTTAATTCCTTCAGTCTACCACTTGATCTTCTCTCCTTCCACGTGGGTGAAATTCCTATTTTACCCCTGGTCCCTCTCTTATTTACAGGTGTTGCCACATCAACCTTGGCAATGTTCTTCCCACAAAATGTCTTCAGTTTTCTACACCTACTACCCTCTTTTCCACATACTTTACTGTGTTGAATCTTTGTATCAACATATCTGATCCGATCCGATGTATCTTGACCCTGGTTCAAAGTTGATCCAAAATACACGTCTTAAAACATTATTAGCAAAAACGGATGGTTACATAATCTGTTGGAGATGCTCTAACAACTAATAACAGGATAACAAAAAATTTGAGTAGAACATTTAAACATATTTAGTGGCCTATAAAGTCAATTTTGTTACTCTGATCATAGACTTGTGATCAAGTTGACTATTTTAGAGTTCGTGAAGTGTACCTTCCGGTGTCGATTGCAGCCAGGAGAAACACAATTGTCATGTTTCGTCCGTTTCTCTGCCCCCCGGATTAACTTTTCTTCTTCTTCGAACTTTTTCGCCACGTCTTTCATTTTGGGTAGGTCTCGTCTCACAGAAAGAAAACGATCGCTCCGACAACCGCATTTAAAGAGTTCTGTATCTGTAATATGTGCTATATTAATACAACCAAGTTGGGTTCAAACAAGGAAAAATAGGAGAACTGCCAAATCACATGTGATTTTACACTAAACTCACGTGTAAAACCACATGTGATTACGCGCGAGGTTGGCCAAGTCGCCCATGCACCGTTCCCTTACATTGATCGTGTTCCGTGATCACATGTGATTTGACTGTTCTCGCATTCCGTTATTTTGACTATGTTCTCGTTTGCTCCTCCATCTAATACAACTACAATAATTTGGCAATTAGAAACTGGTATCAAGAGGGTTTACCATGAAAAACACATATGGGATCAACATAACAGTTGCAGATGACATTAGCCACATAACAATCCTGTTTGCAGAGGCTGCAGCTGATGGTTTCTTCGAGATTTGAAGCAATTCTAAGAGATCGGTCGAGTGATTTCAACCACAAAAGGGCACAATCATGCTTTCGAATTAGAGATGTAAATGAGATCTTGATAAAACGCTCAGAAACCGCATCAGGATCGCAAGTATCATCTTTTCGAGTCTTGGAGGAAAGAATCATAGCTTCTTTACATAGAATTTCTTCATAAGGAATGATGGGCTTCTTTCGAAGAAGTGCATATCTCTCGTTAGCAGCCCCGCCAAATGGGAACCAGTCATGGGCTGCAAAGTTCACCGCCTCTCCACAGTTGAAGCCTACTTGCAAAGTGAAATTGAATGATCAAAGTTTTAGAAGGCTACAACTGCTCTACTCTTTAAGGTAGAGGTCAGGTCTGCATATATCTCACCTCCCCCTGACCCCACCTTCGGGTGAGATATATTGGGTTTGTTTGGTTTGGTTTGGTTTGGTTTTGTTCCAAAAGAAGAGGTATTGTTTCACTTTTGAGGCCAAGCCAACTAGTTTTCGACTTATAGACATTCATTACGATTTGAAGAGAATTCCATACAAAAGAACGTCTTGGTGCAAATTTTGTAACGAAACTAGTTTCAAAATTAATAGGTTTGACCTCAAAAGCAAGACATTACCCGGAAAGACACTCCTGTGAATATGTATAACCCCATTAGATTACTCTCCAAAATGCCCTTGAAGAGAAAATGGAGAGTTCAACATATGTTGAGGAGAAATGGTCAAAGTCTAGCTGATATAGGACTCTAACAATTGCATAGTTTTTTTAGCCAAATGACCTCCTCACAAGTGGTTTTTAAATCCATGACCTTTTGACACGTTTCTAGACATTCTTGTATATAGAAGTGACATTCTTCTGTTAAGTAGTGACATCCTCAAACCTGTCAGAAGGTTATAGGAATTAAAAAGAAACCTGACAGAAGGTCATTCTAACCAAAGGATCCACCATAGCATCATCATCACATACCATGACTGAAACCCGCATGATATGCTCTAGGAAAGGTGATGACAAACTCCCCCGGTGATTGGACAACTTTGTAGACCGGGATACGATTTTGCAACAAGATCTTTGGAGGAAACATAGTCGTTTTCTCTGCAAGCAACTCGAAAGCTCCATTTCCTCCATCAGTTGGCAAAATTTCTCTAGTGTAAACATGACGGCGGATAACCTTCTCGAACTCGTGAGCAGCACTACCAGGAACTCCATACCATGTTTTTGGTGCCCCACAATGATGATAATTAATACTGAAAGAAGAGAAGATAAATACATTCAAATCGACTACCACTAAAACAGGACAAGACAAGACAAAAATGTGTTGTCTCATGTTTGGTGCGACATTAGACTAGGACAAGATAGGACTATGGGGGGGCAAAAATGCATTTTTCTAGTCCCACCAAAATAGATGAAACAAAAATCAAAGAGATGGGACAAGATTGGCAATCAGTACACTACACATATCAAATTAAAACCCTAAAACTTTCCAGAATTCTTTCATCCACCTACCTCAATCTCGCTCCCGTCCAGTATAGTCCTCGTACCAAACGCACTTGAGTTAGATATCAGGTTTACATACATCTAACCCTCCCCAGATCCTACTCTCGAATAGGATATACTAGGATCGTTTGGTTTGGTATGGTTATCAAGTTAGAAAAAGCCACCAAAATTATAGTATACCTATACAAATAGTGATCCTCTACATGCCACGCGAACATACTGAAGAGCATTCCTATGTACAGCATGGGATCGGTCACTCCCTGTACAAGTCAAAATCAGGCATGTCAAATGCGCAGAAAACCCCAATGTATCGTGTCCCTTAATCCCAAAATAAATATCCAAAATGAAAACTAAAACGCACACGGTTTTAGAAATTTGTAATTGTTACACATTTTAATTAATTAAATGACAATTTTACCCTAAATAATAGAGGCTTATGAATTTCTACATATCGTAATTAGGGGTAGAGACGGAAAGTAAGCACTTTTGGAAGTTGACACTTAAAATAGAAATGTGGATATTTATTTTGGGACAGAGGGAGTACGAGCAATTCTATAAAAAGAAAGTATCATGTTACCGGAACGGGATTTTCCACCAAACGAAGTGCTGATCTCGGCAGTCTTGGAAGTTTCTGAAACCAAAAATGGGAGATAGATTAGAAGAAAAATGGTATGTATGCAAAACTAGAAGTCTAGACATCAAAGAAAACAGTTTGTTGTGTGGCTACTGAAGAGATATTAGGTATATAACCTTAAACGAGATTTTTATTAAATCCATGACCTTCTGATGAGCATGAAGCCATTTTTCTTCTAACAGGTCAGGAGGTAATGGATTTAATTAAAATCTCATTTAAGGTTAGATACGTAAATGACCCGACTACTGAAGGAAATGGAAACTAGGAGACCTTCAAGTTCCATTTGCTGTTTCCAAGGTGATCATTAGAGGAAGACGAGAAAGCACTTCCATCTACATTCACTCCATATTCGACTGTTCCCTTCTTGCCATGCATCATTTCGACCCAAAATTCCCTTTCCAAATATGCGGATGGAAGACATCCCGATAAACAATATTTGTTAGCCGTCACCCTGTTTGCCATGACCTCAAAATCACGAAGAGTGTAGCTTCTGAAAGAAAGGCATAGGTTATATCAGGTTGATCATAACCGATGACAGCAGTACTAATAGTTGGACACCCAAATGAAATCGGGTTATTTAGCTAAATTACCATGTGTTTTTTACCTTCTTACATGTTTTTAGGCGTGCTTGTGTATGAAAGTGACACTCTTCCGTTAAACTGTGCATTCTTCTTAAACCTGTCAGAAGGTCATGGATTTAACAAAAAACTGACAGGAGGTCATTCAACCAAAAGACCCAATAAAATCTGGTTATTTAGCTAAAATGACCAGGTGCTTTTTAAATCCATGACCTTCTTACATGTTTTTAGGCGTTCTTGTGCATGAAAGTGACGTTTTTCTATTACACAGTGGCGTTCTCCTTAAACCTATCAGAAAGTCGTGTATTTAAAAAAAAAACCTTACAGAAGGTCATTCAACCAAAAGGCCCAATAAAATCTGGTTATTTAGCCAAATGACCATGTGCTTTTTAAATCCCTAACCTTCTTACACATTTTTAGGTATTCTTGCGTATGGAAGGGACATTCTTCTGTTAAACAATGGCATTCTCCTTAAACCTTGTCAGAAGGTCATGGATTTAAAAAAAAAATACTGACGAAAGGTCATTCGACCAAAAGACTCAATAATATCTTTACTTTCTCCCGATGAAAAATGTGTTCTTGTCGTCCATCGTCCATCTAGCAATCCGAAGGGGCTGAACTTTAGGTGTAAATCTGAAACCTGGTTTCTCCTTCTTCATTACAACACCAGTTGGAGCGCCAGAAGTTAAAGGAGGAACGATCTTGCATACTCCTATAGACAGTTTAGTTAATTCTTAACACCATAAGAACGCACGTAGTAGCAACCTACTTTCATAAATTTCCTTATTACAGCATTGTACTTTCATTTTCTCCTATTACAGTATTGTACTTTCAAATTATTTTTTATCAGGGCGTTGTACTTTGACGAATTTATAAAAGTAGGTTGCTATTTCATGCATTTAGCTCTAAAATAAACATGATATTCCAATGATAATCTGAACTAGTATGGCATTAGGCTTAACCAATCTTGCATATTCATTGGCGATTATATAACGAAACTCGAAAAGAAAATCAAAACATACCATATTTTGATGCTTCCGGTGCAATTTTCTGAAGATACTCCAACGGATCCTCGAAATCCTCGATTGCAGGATGATAGACTGGACACTCTGTAATCCGATTAATCCATTCCAGATCATCAGTCGTGCGAGATTGATCCCTCTGGAACCCCTTCTTGCTAAAACTTCCAAACATACATGATTTCAAATGCTTTCTGGAGCTACTTGCTTCAGAAAATGAAGAAAACTCCATCCTGTTTCGATTCAGTTTGTTGGGCATAATTTCTGGTCCTTCGAATACACATCACAATCACCTGTGATATTTGCTTAACAAATCGAAGAAACAGAAAGGAATTCTTGCAATATGTACAAGTTTTAGGCAAAATTCATGTAGATATACACTATTAAGTTAAGCACACCAAGTGTTTGTTGTTTTTCCTGAGTGTGATCTACAAAATCCCGCTTCCATAAACTGTAAAAATACAAATGAAACAGCCAGTTTGATCGTTCATACACAAAATCCCACTTCGATCTTCATAAGAAGTATCGAAATAGAAAGATCTACTAAGAATCAGCGATTCCTAGAACTCAAGAAACACAGATCTGAAATCATTTGTGATCATAAATCAGGATCATGATGGCATCAATTAATGGTGTAAATCAAACAATGCTAGTTTCATAATTTAGAGCATCTAACCGCTAATCGCTGTCTTCTTTTCTCGAATTCAAACCGGAATGGAGCCAAATTGAATCGAAATCGAGATTATCAGTAAATAAATCTCAGCCGTCCAATTCTAAAGCTTCTTAAAAAATACAAATAACCACCATCGATTTGTACAAATTGTCATGCATACTGTACAAGGTAGTGATGCCTAAAGCCATAAAACGGTTCCCAGAAAAAACATATCTCCAGTTCATCCCATAACGAACTTGAATTGTTGAAAGTGGTTATTACCTTATTTTGGTGTGGTACCAGTAATAAATAGTTTTTAGTGTTTGGATGGAGAAAAAAAAAGAAATGTTTATATCGTTTTGGCACCGGTGATAAGGAGATTTTAATGAGTTACTTTCTTCTAACTTATTAACTTATTCCAATGTGGTACCGGCAATAAGGAGTTCTAGTGTTTGGATGAGAAAAGAAAATGGTATCTCTATCTATTTTATCAGTTTATCCGGTGTGGTACCGTCATAAGTTAATTCAAACACTTTTAAGAAAGGGGATTTAATTTCGGAAAAGGATATTTCAATGATCTCAAAACATTTAAAACTTATTCCCGTTTTGCCCTTTTATTAGAGAAAATAATAACAATTCTTTTTGTTTTATTTTTTACTTTACTAAAATAACTTGTTTTAATCATGACCATTGATCATAAAAATGAATGAATGTGACTGGTTTGTAGGGTTTGTATGAAATGGATGGTTATCGAAAATGCAATAAAGTTTGTGTTGGCTCCGATTTAAATGTTTGTTAAACTACTTCAAAAAAGTGTGTTAAACCACAAATTTGTTGTATTATAATACTAACTTATACTATCATATCTTAACCAAACTCTTTGTATGGTCTGAAGAGGCTTACTTATCTTATAGTTCTATATGTGTTCCTAAGAAAAGGAATTTGTCCATTTTCCGGGGTCTCAAAGGAACGGTTATAGTAATTGAGAAAATGAGAATGTTACGTTAAATAAAAGTAAGTAAATTTCACTGTATTTTCATACAGTTTGTTCTGATAATCAAGATCAATTAAATCAGTTTAAGCTCACTAATAATTAAGATAGACCAGCCATTTTATCTTAAAGATGTTAAAAGAATACTAGGAGAGTATTCGTGCAATGCAGCGAGATACATCTCGATTTTAATGTATTGTTTAGCATGTCTCCGTCAATGTTATGATATGATTTTATGTGGTGCTGAAAAAACGATTAAAATATAAATTTGAAGGTATCATAAAATTTTGAAAAATAATGTATCAATTTTAATATTAAATTAAATATTTAAAAGTTCTTTTTTTATATAATTTCTTTAATTCAATTTTCTATTATAATTTAATTTAGATTTAATAGTAAATTCATTTATTTTTTGTTTAAAAATATAATTATCTTATAAAGATAATAATTAACCTAAATACATTTTAGATTTTTTATATTTAAAATAAGATACCTATCAAATATTTGATTATGTTTATCTACAGTTACTTACATGAATTCAATTATAGAGTTTTAATAAATTGTATATACGTAAAATTTACTTGTAATATTGAATTTAAACAATATGCATCAATAAACACTACTTAATAAAAAAAAAATGATTTTTAAGAATTTTTATCAAATATTTTATAATATAGTATAGATAAATATATATTTTTGATTAACCTGGATATCCAACCCGCTATGCGAGCCGACTAATCTCAGGACGACCATCTGCTTTGCAAATAATCCGGAGTCACCGCATTTGAACCTCCGTGGCCACAGGAAGATTTGTATTCCTCCTTGGATTTGAACTTGAGACTTCCTGACACTTTTGACATTTAAAGTCAAACTTAAACCAATCAGACACCACCCTTATGGTTTAGATAAATATTTTTTAATATCAAAATATTTGAGTGCTCCACAAACATACATCCCTCCTACTAAGGAAAGCTTTATTCGATACCCAATCATTAATTCGATTTATTTGTTTTTCTAAATTTATAATTTATAATTTATAATTTATAATTATTTTTTTATTTTCAAGTTGAAGAGGAATATTTTACAAAAAGTCAAAAATCGATGCTAATTTCTCTTCAAATCTTGATTCTGTTGATCAACTTCTTCCATAAGATTTATCTTTTTCTTTTATTCCATATAAAATATTTGTTTTAACAAATTACATTTTTAGCCCCTTGATTTTTGCTTCACTTGCTATTTTGGTTCTTCGAAAGATTATGTAACAATTTTATGAAGGCTAAATTTGGTAAATCAAATATTAATTTTAGAATTTTTATTAACTTTAATATCTAACCAAATTAAAAATACAAAATAAAAATACCAAATATATCTTCTTATGATCCATCACCATACCATCACTAAGAGGTTAGGTTATTTATTTACCTCTTAATAGTTTCATTAATAAGCAATCTATGAATCGTTCAGAGGGTGAATTTTGTTTGGCAAAAAAAAAATCTGTCTCTTAATGGTTCTAAAGTACTCTGAATGATTTTGTATATTGGGTCTCCCTTAACCATTGAGCAACCTAATTTCATTCTGAACAATTACCAAACAATTATATTTTAGTTTGCACTATATCATAAGAGTCTCTTAATCATTCTGATAACTTAATCATCTTGCATCAAATCATTCAGCAATTGTCAAATATCCTCTAGTCAACTTCTGTTGTGTTTGATTGATCATATTGAAAATAATTTCAAAAGATAGCTAAATTGAAGAAATTACGTGGTGAGAGTTTTCTGATTCCTTCATCATCATAAGCATCATCAAGGCTACGATCTGTGTGTGAAGAAATTACGTCAATGTTTTTTTGAATAAATTAATGAAGATCAACAAAGACTTTCAACCTTAACGATACAAACAGGTCATTTTAGTTCATCTATGTCAAAAGGAGTTGATGTATATATATATATATATATATGGAAATGTTCAAACATGAACACCTTCATTTTAAGAGAACGTAAGAACGCCCTTTTACTATAGACAATCACGTGTGATACTGTTATTCTATCACATATGATACACATGTGATACTAAATCAGAAACGATGACGATTTTCAATGTGATCTTGGTTGCGGGCCAAGTCGCCCTTACACCACTAAACCTCCTCACAAGTATTATCACATGTGATAAGAGTGTTGTTGATATAATACTATAATTCATCAAGACCATCCGCATGTGATACTAATCATAGACACAGACAATCTTTGGCGCTACCTAAGTCATAGAACACATCATTCACATCACAGGGTCCCCTCATGCGTATTATCACATGTGATAAGGGTGCTCTTGTATTCTCGTAAAATGGAGATGTTCTCATTTGAACCTCCACCTATATATATATATTGATAACGTGTGAAACGAACAAGATCTAAAATTTTGACTAAAAAGAAAATGGGTTAAACGTGCACGTGACGTAATAAAAACTTGTCGTTCAAAATTGTTTTTGGAAAAAAGTATATTGTTTTTTAAAATAATAGTTCTTATAATGATATTACTACATTAACTTCCCAAAAAAATAAAAAAGAAATTGTTGATGATTCAACCTGGATGACTTGACTTATAAATTTACTCGTTTTGACCAGTCACCTAACTTGTAGCAGCATGACCAACACATTTGTTTTCATATTTATTAGAGTGAAGGACCAATAATTAAAGGTGCACATGGGTTACGTCAACAGTTTGCGTCATTTAATCAACCAAACCCAGTTCAAAAAATCTCAACCCAACTCGTTAAAAATATAACCCAATTAAAATGACAATCATTGGAATGTATGTTTAATTATTACAATCAAAATTTGAAAGTACGAACTAAAAGGAATATATCACAACATCAATCAACGATGATGGTTTTGGATTTGGCTATTGTACAATTTGTATATAATCATACAATTTATTTGTTGTCACTTCTGCTATATTAAAACACATATAATCATATAATTTATATATCATCACAGTATTATAAGGAATTAAGCAGTTAAAATTTAGGTACCGTCCATTATACTTCATGTATATAATCATATAATTAGTGGTAGTTTGAATTGAACATAAACTAACCTAATTTTAAGCATATTGTTTGGCAGTTGTTTAATGGTTTGGAGTAGAATGATTAAGAGACTCCCATAATACAGTGTAAAATGAAATATAATTGTTTGGTAATTGTTTACAATGAAATTATGGCACTTAATGGTTAAGGGAGACCTAAGGTACAAAATTATTTAAAGGGTTTTAGAATTACTAAAAAACGGATTTTTTTGTGTCAAACAAGATTCAACTCTTAACAATTCAAAGACTGTCTTTTAATAAAACTATTGAAAGGTAAACAAACACTCTCTAATTTACGATTTGAAAGGTTGGTGGGGGCTATTAAAATTTGGGCACTTCCCATTGTTATTATTTTTTTCTTTGAAAAAAAAATATTGGAAAAAAAAAACTAATTGAGAGATAAAAAAAAACAAAGAAATTATTCAAAAGATCAAAGTAGCAGTTTGAGAAAAGTCAAGGGACTAAATATGTAACTTTCTCAATCTGTTATATGTTGTTGAGTTGTTCTATGTTGTTTGATTGAAATTCTTGAGAACCCCTCTCTGTTTCTCTCTCTCATTCGCAATGTTATGCACAATAAGGTGAATTTTTTTTCGATTATGGATGTCATGATGTATAAGGCGGATCAAAATGCAGATGCATAGAAAGCTTGATAATTCGTTGATGCATTTCGATTTCTGAGGCACAAATGTCTACGACGCATAAGAAAACGGATTCCGACAATGTATCAGGTGATGATCGAATCCTCCATGTTGTTGTTTCGCAGAGTATGGTTTATGTGATTTTGGGGGTTATGACATGCGTAATGATTTATGTAATTGATGTTGGCAAACTTCAAATATTTACAATATGCAATGTTCCATTGAAGTTGTGTTTTGTTATTGATGTGAAACCTAGCATTTCTCACAATCAAAATAAGTTATTGATGATTTCGATTATTTTAGTTGTTTTTTCCGTGCAAACAAAACCTTCATTCTTGCAAATATGAAGAAATAATTACTGAACTTAGAGAAAATATGGAAAGCTGCCAAATATTAGGAGGTATGATGGTTTCCTTTTGCATTTGCATTTTCATAAATTGTCTAATTTTGCCCATTCTTGAAAATTCAAGTGTTTCTTTTGGAATTTGCGCAAGATTTATGGTTAGTTTGCTATGAAAAACCAAAGATATGTACAAAAAGTTAATCATGATCAAAAGTTCTTTTAGTTTGTAATTTCATTCTCTTTTTGTTACTTTAGCTATCAAGTTTTTTCTTGAAGAAAACATTTGTTTTATCAACATAGATGTTAAAGATATCTCATTTGACTCTTGAAAGTAAATAAAAACTGTCTTTGGATGGAGGGATTAATATTATGTTCAAGGGATTCCATGATTATTCTATGACAATTAATGGGCTTTTAGTGATTTTATGGAGGTGTACTCTGTGATATAAAAAAGAAACAAAGAATGAAAGAAGTTGAGACCATGTTAGAATGCATATCTGAGTCTGACTACACATTTTAACTCTAGAGCTTAAGGTCTATTTCCGAGAATTACAAATAGTTATCTGGCCTGCTGTCTCTTATTTTCAAGGAACCAGATGTTCTTTCCTTGTGTGTACTGCAGTTTTATCTTGTTACAAAAATATAACTAGTATTATCTTTTACTTTGTCTCCTTGCATCCTTCAATATGGTTGCATCATTTAAATATTCTCAAACCATAGGAGTTGGTAATAGAGCACCTAAAGCTCGACTATTACTACTTTAGTTTGCATCCTTTAGTGGGGAAGGGAGATTCAAACCATGTCATCCAAAATATAGCATTCAAGCCTCATTTAAATATTTTCAAACCATAGGAGTTGGTAAGGGCCTGCCATATAGCATTCAAGCCTCATTTAAATTAACTTTTCTTTATCAAAAAAAGATATAGCATTCAATCTCAATTACTTGAGGGTTTTATCTTTGGCCCTTGGGCCTACCCAAACATGCCAAATGTGTAAGATTTTTGAACTTAGTGAGGATAGACATGGAAGAGTACTGGAAACAGAGAACATGGAATGATGGAAAAACCAAATATGAATCTCCTCTAGTATGAAGATGAACAGCTAGAAATATAGCAAAATGCTTGAATTCCTAATATATGGGTTTGTTTTACATTAAAAAGACCGAAGAGAACTTTTGAAGGATGTTATCTGCAAAACAAACACAGTGGGTATTTTGCACATTGAATGATGTTGAACCACTTGATAACTCTTTCTGACTAAACACACTGATATGATATTTATTATTCTCACTGCCATTGTGTAGCATGAAAATCTTAGACGAGCCTATAAAAGATGAAGACAACTATCCTGTGTTTCTTATTGAACGAATAGGTGCCTTCTAAGTGGTGTGAAATTAAGACATTCAACATGTTGTTTATTAAGTTCATTTATTGGAGGTTATGCCAGTTTAGTTAGTGAGGTTCTTTAGACCCCCTGTTTTCCGGTTCAAGTCGCCTTTCTTTAAATGTGATGTTAACAGTGTTTTTTGTGATGTTAAGCGGAAGTTATTTCTGTTATATGTGGCATTCCTTAATTCCATACTTCTTTAACTGGATGTGATACTAAATCGTATGATTATCATCTCAGGATCTTGCCTCTATGACCTCTTATGTTTAGAAAATAAAGAAAATTGGAGCTGCTTGTTTCGACAGTCACAATATGACAGTATGTTTGATTTCATCCTCCAAACCTCACTGTCAACTTTTGTACACCTTGAGTTATGATTTGCTTACAACTGTTTCCATCTCTATATCTATGAGGAGTCAGTTTGCCTCCCAACTTATACCGATACTTGTAACTATTACAATACACTGAGCAATATGTTAATTATGCTGTACAAAGGTCTATCCAAGTATACCTACTTAAAAAATAGTCTTTTAATAAACTTCTGCAGCTGGTACTGATTTAGTGCTGATATTACATTTACAATCATAGGCCAACCTGCAACTAACTTAGTACTAGGATATATTCTACTTTGTTTGGTTCTAAATGTCGCGAAAGGACAGTGATAAATGCAAAATGTAGAGGTTTACAATCTATGACAATAGTGGGAGAGCAGTTTACTAAATAGCAAAAACATCTCTCCAAACAGGCATTAGAGAGTAAACACCAAGCTCTTTCCAACAAAGTCTTATTCGTTCTTTCCACTGCTCCATTCTGCTGAGAAGTATCCCAATCCATTATATGCTTCACATTTCCTTCATCTCTACAAACCGATCAAACTCTCTTGAACAAAAATCCAAGCCATTATCAACACAGTGATGCTTCATCTTCCTCTCCATTTGGTTCTTGATAAGAACCTTCCAATGCTTGAAGCTCTAAAATACCTCGCTTTTGTGCTTCATGATGAAAACTAGCATGATCATTGAGTAATCATCAACAATAGAGATAAAATACCAAGCACTACCAAATGAAGGAACTCAAAAAGGACCTAAACAATCCGAATGATGATAATCGAGTGTCAGCTTTGTTCTATGTATAGCCTTAGCAAAGTGATCCGGTGTTGCTCTCCAAAGACAAAATGCTAACAGAACTCCGAATCTGCTACCTTGTGTTCTCTGAAAAATTTCCATTTGCTGAGAATTACCATACCTTTATCACCAATATGACCAAGTCGCATGTACCATATGGGACGAATCTCTTCCTTAACCTGAAAGTGACCACTCACATTTTTAGCCCAAAGGCAAACACTCACTTTTTGAACTCAGGTTTTCATGCCCCTCATAGAAGTAACTAGTGGTTAATTTTTTTGACAAATTAACTCGTGTAAATCAACAATCAGGTAAAGTAACTATTTTTTTTATACATCTTCGTTGTGAATGACATGTCTTCACGTTTATGATAAGTTATACCGATCAGATTTTAATTAACTCGTTGGTTTTTCTTGATGCAATGTAATTTTCACTGATCAGGCGCACAACAAAAGCTGGCAGAATTTATCAATGAATCGGGTAATATGTTCTGTGCAGATTGTGGAACCCCAGATCCGAGATGGGTGTAAGTGCTAAGCTCCAGATGCTTGTTTTGACTTCAGTTAAACCGTCTTTGTTCATAAACTCCAACGGGCTGCCATCTCTGTGACAGCCTTGGATTTCTTATTATGTAAACCAATGAATCGTATAGAGCAATATCACAGTATTAATACAAACCACCATCAGAAGAAGCCTCAAACGATATATAAAAACATGGCAATTAGACACATCTGTGATGTACAATTAGCTGACTCGATCAGATATGGATCACATATGGCTCATTTTTTAAATTCCTTATTTATTTACTTTTTTACTTGAGAAGTAACTTTTATTGTCTTCATCAAGTACAATGTACATGGAATTCTGTATTTCATATGCATTTTGTTAGCTTCATTTTCATATAATACATAGTACCTTAAATTGCGTCTTGTTTGGGTGACCAGATCTGTAAGTTTTGGAGCATTTATCTGCATCAAGTGTTCAGGAGCACATAGAAGCCTTGGTGTTCATATATCAAAAGTATGGTAATCATTTCTTGTCTCAACTTAGAATCTTGATTCATTATACATTGAATAATCATTGGAACTTGATAACTCGGAATATAAGTGTTTTATATAAAAAGTGAATAAAATATATAAGATGAACTCTAGTGAGCTTGTGTGTTAATTCCATAAGTATTTGCATAAGTAATTTTTCAGTTCATCCCTTTCTCAGAAAAGTGACAAGTTACTAGTTTTGAAAAGCAATTGAAGGGTTCAATTAGATTTGGTGGGGGAAACATGGAGCATGATTGGTAGACTAAGGGCCTGTTTGTTAGCAGCTTGATGAGCTTAATGGGACTTGGCTTATTCGGTCAGCTATACATGATTGTTTGGTAGTTGCTTAATGATATAGAAAGTGGCTTATTTAGTAAGCTTCTAGGGGAAGCTTTATGCAGAAAGCCAAGTTTTTTTCCGAAACTGCCCCTCCCAATTAAAAAACACGCTCCTTCCATCTATGAAAAAATCTCTGCCAAACAAAAACCTTGTCAATCTACAAAGACAGCTTTATCCGTACAGGACTTGATGGAAAACAAACCAAACATCCCCTAAGCTAATTATATCAGTATAGTGTCTGTCACAATGAAAGAGTTCTATGATTTTTATATCAAAGAACACTTCTTATACCAAAATGGAAATATTTCATTTTTTATATCAAAGAACAAGCTTCTTTTACCTCTGCTAATATTGCAGTTAATGCAAATACAATGATGGCCATAGAGTCCTTACTAAACAACTAGATGTTCTCGACTTCTTTAACAGGTGTTATCAGTGAATCTAGATGAGTGGACACATGAAGAAGTCAATTGTGTAATAAAATGTGGTGGTAATGCGATTGTGAATTCGAAATACGAAGCCTGCATTCCTTACAACTGTAGAAAACCAAGACCGGATTCTTCTATAGAAGAGCGCTTGGAGTTTATCAGGTAAAGAAGGAACTACATGTGCCATTAATCTTGTATGACTTGGATTATCGTAATTAGTAAACCACTTTATGCATCATACCCAGGAAAAAATATGAGCAGCAACAATTTTTGAACTCCAATAAACAGATATGTCTTCAACAATGTCCATCATCGTCCTTGCAGTGCGCTTCAACAAACTTCATTGGTGCTATCATGGACAAGAAGAACTCAAACAGTATCCGTATGCAAAGTATTGGCCAAGCATTTCGCAACAGCTGGAGAAGAAAAGAGGCTGAAAACAAGGTTCCTGCTAAGACGAGTAACTCGACGGTAATTGCTTTTTGCTGTCTCTTCTAGGATGATGTCTAAATTCTAATCAACTGTTGAGTATGGCTGGAAATAGAGTTGTAGCATCCTGGGTCGAATGATATATATACATTTTCCATCTCTAAAGTCTTTTCAACACATACTTTTGGAGTTCAAGTGGCTTATCTAGGAGAATAATCTTCTGATGACAAATTTTAAGGCATTCTTGTGTTAGGAAGAGATATTGACGCTCTTAAATGTGTCAAAATATCATGGTTTTAATTTCTAGGAGCTTATTTACCCAAATAACTCGATTCAAATTAATGTAATTGTTTAATTTGAAAGCAAAGTTTTAATACTTATGCTAAACATGTAAATGAAAATGCTTTACCTGTAAATGAAAATGCTTTACCTAACAGGGTTATTTTAGGAGAATAACCTTCTGATAGATTCTTCTTAAATGCATGACCATGATGACCTTGTGACGGATTTTGAGGCATTCTTATGTTAGGAAAAGACATTCTTTTGTTAGCAAATGCGTTCTCAAGTCTATCAGAAGGTCATGCATTTAAAAACTTAAAAAAGGTTATTCTCCTAAATAACCCCTAACAGGATAAAATATAATCTGTTTGACCATGATAGTTGAAGTAGAACTTTTATTTCAGAACAGACGTAAACTATATCAAAGTTCTATACGGAACAATATTACCGTGTGTCTGATATCTTGTCTATAGGCAGGTATGGTTGAATTTATTGGTCTGATAAAGGTCAATGTGGTCAGAGGCACCAACCTAGCTGTCCGAGATATGATGACGAGTGATCCTTATGTGATCCTATCGTTGGGAAACCAAGTAAGCCTCACACCTAATGACACTTGGCATAACATAGTTAAAGTCTAATCATAGCTAAAAGCAATGGTAGGTGGAGGTTCATGTGAAAACCACAAAAAAATTGATAACCGTGAGAACCTGTACATTCATCGATGCATATATGCTAATGAATTTTAGTGAGTATATGCATCAGTGCATATATACTTGCATACATAGCAGATATATGCTGATGAATAAACTCATTGACGGAATACATCTTTTGATAGTATATATGCATAAATGAATATACAGGTTCTACGGTTCTCAAAATTTGTCTCTAACATGAACCTGATCCTATATATTATTGTAAAAAAAAAATTGAAAGTTTTGTATTCCTGATGCAGTCAGTGAAGACACGGGTTATAAAGAGCAACCTTAACCCTGTATGGAATGAAAAGTTAATGTTATCAATCCCTGATAACATTCCTCCTTTGAAAGTGGTAAGTCAAATTTACATTTTCGTATAAATACTTTCCATGTTGGGAAACCCCAGTTCATCAAGCCCAGATAAATATATAAATTTGGAGATGAATCTTTCAAAAAAATGTTGGATTTTCTGGGACAGAGAGAGTAGAACATATGTTATTGTTTAGTTGCATTTCGGAAAGGGAAGTTGTTTGGATGACTCTTTTCTGGACTGGACTACATACACCGTTCACGGGTGTGTTTGGTACACGGAATAGGATAGGACAGGACATGACAGTATTAGACTAGGAAAGGACTAGACATGAATGGGAAAAATATGCATTTCTAACAAAAATCAAGGAGATAGGACAAGATTGGTAAATTACTAAACTATCCATGTCAAATTAAAACTCCAAAACCTTCTAAAATTCTTTCACGTGCCTACCTCCCTACCACCCATCCAGTCTTGTCCAATCTCGTTTGCATACCAAACGCACCCTCATGGAAAATATATAAACCAAACATTTATTTCACCCAAATATGTTTAAAGCTTTCACGTTTTAGAGGCAAATTCAAACACACAATTGCATATTAGGAACATGTTTATTAGTTTCCCGTACTGATTAAATCACATCATGTTGCAGATTGTTTATGACCGGGATACATTCAAAGCTGATGACTTTATGGGTGATGGTGAGATCGACATCCAACCGTTGCTCTCTGCCGCCAAAGCATCCGAGAAGTCCGACCCCAACGAGTCATCAATAGAACTCGCAAAATGGGTAGCAAGCAAAGACAACAAAGACAACACCGTTGCGAAAGATGGTGTGATCACACTGGCAAAAGGGGTTGTAAAGCAAGAGATCGCTCTCAAACTCCAAAATGTCGAAAAGGGTGTGCTACAAATGGAGCTTGAATGCGTTCCACTTACCCAATAGCAGTGCCACAACGGTCGTCAACAAAGACTGCTTAAAACTTGGATCAAGATTATGAAGAGCGGTAGAGCGATTTGATTGATTCACACGCAGCATCGCCTGCTGACGGGAAACTGTGATCCGACTTCGTAGCGAAAATAACGGTATATAAACTTATACTTGGCTTTTGTCAAGAATCATGGTTCAGTGATTAGTGTGATCAATTTTATGCACCTGTTATTGATGTATCATATTTTGAACACAGTTATTGTGAGTTGTTATTTTGCCATATCCAGGTCTCATATGTTCCTCTTTAGAGTTGGATTTAACGGCTTTGTTTGGTTTATGCCTCCAATGCTTATGGGTTGCTGAAACTAAGATATAACTATATAGTTCATAAAATATATGTAAGCATAAGAAAATATTTATGTTTTTATAGGGCAAATTGCATGAAAAAGTAACGTATTTTAACTTGATTCCTATTTTAGGTAACGTACTTTCAAAACCTTCATTTTAATATATAAGATGTAAAGTTTTAAACATTTAAGTACTTAGGTAACCGGTTGAATTATTAATCGGACGGTTAATGTTTTAACCGGTTATTCGGATACTTAAATGTTTAAAATTTTACATCTTAGATACTAAAATAAAAGTTTTAAAAGTACACCACGTGAATAAAAATTAAATTAAAATTTGTTACTTTTTCTTAAAACTTGTCTTTTTATATATTTTAGAGTAAATTATGGGATTTGGTTTATGTCATTTATTATGGATTTGGTCCCTCCGTAATTTCTGTTAAATCTGGTCCATCCATTTCCCATGTTAAATTTAAAGAGCATTTTCGTATTTTTAATATTTTTCTCTATTTTTATATTATTTTTGTCTTTTTCTTTTATCATTTTGTCTTTTCCCTTCTTTTTAACCACCAATTAGATTATGACATGTGTAAGGAATTTATAGGATTATCTTGTCGGCAGTTACCACCCAGTCGTCGACCGACCACCCCTACTCGGTGAACCAACATCGTCCCTGCACAACCACCACCGTCGTCCACCAACAAGGACTAAAATCTGGAGTCTACTCCGATGACCCATCACTTTCGGCACCTCTACTGTTTTTCTCCTGGCAAAACTCTATTTCCCGGCGACCACCACCACTGCGGTTTTGTTCCCTGTGATGACCCTCCCCCAACCATCTCTGGCCCTCTTCACAACCACCACCACTCAGCAGCCTCCGTCTACAGTCATCTGGCCGATCTCTTCCCTGCTCCGATCGAAAACCCCCAACAACACCCTCCTCTTTCTTTCTTATCCCTCCCTTCACCATCGTCCCTAACACCACGCTAACCAACCCTCTAAAATCTCCGCCGGCAACAGAGACATGGGATGGGGGGGCTCACTCTTCCAGCCTTCACCAATACAGAACACACATCCACCCACACAGACCCACACCCACACACTTCGTCTGACGGTTTCTTAAAAAACCCACAATACACACACATATATACACACCAGACATAAATACACGGACACACACATATAAACACACATCGGAGCAATGGTGAGGCATGTGGATCATCGATCGGAGCAACAGTGATGGGGAAAGGATGAGGATCATCGATTGGGGGCAGTTGGCACCTGATAATCGTTGGAGCAGCGGGGGACAAGGGTTGGAGGAGAATCATCGTCCCAAACACTCCAGATAACTGCCGGAAAAGGAGGGGGTTCACCGGACCCAAGCTGCCGGAAAAAACAGGGGAGAGACGATTGGGTTTTTTATAGTTTTCTTTATATTCTAAAAAAGCTTATGTCATCTGTCATGAAATGATTGGTTATTAAAAAGGATAAAAAAACAAAATAGCTAAAAGACAAAACCCTCATAAGAACAATAACAAATGACCATTTTATCCTTCGAACTTAACGGCAATAATAACCGGTCGTTAGGTCGAAGGACCAAATACAATAGAAAATGCATACTAAAAGCATCAAATTCATAATAAACGAAGTCTATGAACGATTTTCGTAAAAATAGCAAACCACAGGGATCAAATCCGTAATGTACTCTATACTTTTAGCTAGATTTAGTGCAAATGCCTTATACATTTGCGTAAAGCTTATTTTCAGATTACAAAAAAGAAATTTTTTCCCGCAAATGAGTATCCTTACGCAAGTTTACGTTAAGGTTTTTTCTTCTTTTTGATCTGAAAATCGAGTTTACACAGTAAGACATTTGCAAAAAATTTAACTGAAATAGAAATTCGATTGAGAAAATGTTTAAAACATGAATATAGTTGTAGAGATTGACTATTCGGTCAATTTCCGCTCTAAAACCTAAAGTCTGCTAAAAAAATGTAAATGCTATTAATTAAGTCAAAAAATATCATATACCATGATATTAGAAAAATATTGACAAAAAATACATAAAAACATGATTTTTTTTATAAATTATTCAATTTCACATCTGAAAAAATACCAGTCGTATATGTATATTTTGGGATTGTTTGGTTCGAAGTTGATGAACTGTATATGTAATTGTCTGTTTGCAGCATACCACAAGTCAAGTTGGTTTAATTGGAACATCCATTCATCTATTACTTAACGGGTTAAGTCAGTGATTTTCAATACCGTTATTTTTATTCTTTAAATGTATGAATATAATTTAAGGTCGTTTAAAAAACATAATTTTTCTATATTTAATGTTTTTTAATGATATTTTATTAACCTGATATATTTCTTACATATTATAATTATCATAATATTGTGTGTGAAATAACAACCCACTTTTACAAAAAAAAAATATATATATATATATATTATAGCATTGTACTTTATGTTTTTTCTTATTGCAATAATTTACTTTCAAAATACTTTTTATTAGAGCATCGTACTTTCAAAAATTTATTTGTTATAGCATTGGGTAACCTTTTAAATTAAATTATCCATTATACCAGGGTTTTTTATCGTCCATGTAGGTTGTCCATATGTATGATAGTGTTGACATAGCGTTTCTCATTATGGCATTGTACTTTCAAAATTAATTTATTATAATATGACTAATCTCTATTATAGCATTGTACTTTTAATTTTTAATATTTTTATCATTTAAACATTGTAAATTTAATCAAATATGTTTACTAAAAATTATAATATCGTAAATTAAACATGTTTACAAAAATCACTATTTCATGAATAAAATTTCCATAAAAAAATGATGTACGAATTTTACACATTTTTAATTTATAATATTATAATTTTTATAAATATTTTTATTCGTGAAATAGTGATCTCTTGTGTTCATGTTTAATTTCCGATATTATAATTTTGAAAGTACATCGTTGTAATAAGAAAAACTAAAAGTAAAATGCTATAAATAATAAAATTTATAAAAGTATGTTGTTATTTCACACATTTTACCATTTTTATTTAGATTATATATTAGATAAAATTTCATATTATTTTAGAACTACTTTAAAAAAAAAGTCTACCATTCAAATATGTATTTAAACATGTTATTTCCCACCCTACCTTTAAATATCATTATGATGTTCTTTGTGCAACACTTAAATAAATATTGCATGATTTTATATTCAATGATAATTCAAATTAGTATACTTAAAAAATTATCAACTCATTTTTATTTAACAAAAAGGGTAAAATAGTAATTAATGTTATTCAAACTATTGATTCAACATACAAAACAAACGATGATTTATTTAAGTCATATGAAATGTTAATCCATGCCCAAAAATATGCCCCGTCATATTGGTGTCATTGGAGGCAAATCTCGTCATCCTTGTAGGGCTGGTTGTAAGGATGGTGGTTTGCCCCGATCTGGTGGGGAACCCGGCTCATCCGATCCGAAAGTGGGACGGGGATTCCGCACTGAAGCTGGTCACGAGCCGGGAATCCCCGGTAGACTCAAACCGGCGCCAGGGTCGGCAGCTGTTACTCAAACCGGGGTTGGAGATCCTCGATAGACTCGAACTAACGGATATTCTTCATGGGATTTTACTGGGGACGGGATGTTAATCTCCATACCCGCCGGGGACCGGGGCTGTTAACCTGGACCAGGGTCGCGGATTACAAAATGCGCCCCCATCCCCGCCCAGTTGCCATGCCTAACTGATTGAAGTTGTCGGTTATCAGCCTTTTACCCAAATATTATATCCTTATATTATCATAGTTTTTTGTTGTTGTAAATTTCAGTGCAAATATTTTCACAATCCTATGAACTTAATAAATAAATAAATAAAAATTAATTATATAAAATATGTAAAGAAAGCACAAAAACATAAAAAGAGGGAAGAACACTATTAGTGTTTCTTCAATCATTAAAATGCCAAAAAGGTAAAGGTTAATTCTTTTTCGGCCAAAAGTGTAAATTTACCCTCATGCATGCTTATTGGTTTTTTTTATATATATATAAATATTTAATAAAAATCATGTAATATTTTACATTTTTTATAAAATAAATATTATAAAAATTACGGTCAGATATTTTGTAAAAGGGTTGTACATAATACAAGTATTTTCCACATCTCAGATATTTTCCATCATCAAAAGTTCTAAAATTCTCTGAATAATTTTACATCTTGGATCTTCTTTAACTATTCAGTGTCCTAGTTTCATTATAAACAATTATCAAACAACTAGTTGTGTATTCGCGCAATGCGGCGGGAGCCATGAATTTTAACGATTTTGAAGTTCCACTGATTTTATAATATAAGATTTAACGATGATATAAGTTACACTTGGTCTTTACATATTAATACAATTTGAATAAATAAGAGTTATGGTTTCAATTACAGACTATCGATGAAAATTGTACGGCAGTTTAAAATCCAATATATTTAAAATCCAACATATTTAAACGACTACATAAATATGTTCGATTTACACCAAGAACAAAGAACCAAGAAACTTGAGTTTTAAGATAAACGCTCAAAACCAATAAAGAAAACTACAAATTTGACATATCATATGCCATGAAAAGACCAAAAAAGATGGGGTTTATAATGAAATTTCAACTGATTACCCTTTTTCTTGTCCAGAAACTCATATTAAAGTTGAATTAATACATGTATATATATATATATATATAT